AGATCAAGGGTTCAGGGTTTGAACTCTGGCCTGGCCAAGATGTATTTTTACACCCAGAACACTGTTATTTTTTATGAGCTAATTAATCTAAATTATCTAATCATAAAAGCCCTACAAGCAGTAACATACAGTAGTTATAAAGAATGGTGATCAGAAATATTGCTATATTTGGATTAGGATATTTTAAACACCAGCGACCTTGAAAGTGAGCCAAGGGCATTCATCAAAGTATTATACTGGGCACATGTCATCAACCTTTTGATAATTGAGAAGAATTTGTTGAAAATATTTTATACATTTTGACCCTTTGACTTTTAATGTGGTTTAAGGTTATTCATCAAACTTCATCCCCGGTTCCTACTGGCCAAGTATCATCACCCCAGGAATTTTGGTTATTTAGAAATTGTATGTTTAAAGTTTGCTGTGACCAATATCAGTATAGCATACACTTTGTATGTGCAGGGATAATCCTGGAGGGGGCCATGGGGCATTGACCCCTTAAACTGACATTGACCCCTCCATGTTCCAATATTCTTTGATATTGACCCAAAATTGCAGAAAATGGACCACTGCTCTGAAATTCCAGGATTTTCCCTGTATGTGTGTATACATATTTCAGCCATTTGTAACGAACTCCTGTGTGTAAATCTTGTCTAAATTATTAGGATGTTCTTGCATTTGACAACTCATTGCTAGGTATCATCTTGATTCTATCAAAATAAAGTTTCACATAAAAATTCATTTGACTGGTCCATCTTCTCCTTATATCCTACCTGCTGTTTTAGGCACAACATCAGCACGCAACTGAAAAGAATAAGACATAAGATATATAAACCATGTGAATTTGCACATGTACATGTATGTAAAAAGCATTAATAATTGTTTACAATGACTTTTCTATATAAATTTTAGCACACATTACAGCCTGCTCCTACATCAAAAAATTTTGGACCTTTTTTTTTTGCTAAAAAACATAAAATAATTGTGAAATGCACTAATGTAACGGTGCCTGACTTGGAGCATGTATATTTTATAGTTAAAGTGTCAGGGTTTGACATTTTTCATCAGAGTATGTGTTTAATAAATGAATATGATAAATTGCCATATTCAATACAATATCAGCCCTTATATTAGGCTGCTACATTGATTTCTATGTAAAGGGACACCACTGCTGAATTAATTATTGACATTTCAATTAATTTACTTGATTTTTCAAATGTGTATAACTTGGAAAATATTTGTTATATGTGAAAAAAAGTTGTATGAAAATTGATCGTTGTTGTCTCTAGTTTATATGAACGTTTTCAATTCTAAAGTTGCTTCAGTATTTACCTGTACAGGTGGTAATAAAGGTAAGAAAATATGAAACTTTTAATTAATCGGATTTAAGCAAGAGGAAGATCATTTCAAATCTATTTTCGTCCGCAAATGTGATTGGCAAATTATAACAAGAGATTATAAACTTCATTTTTGACATAAAACGCTGTATATTAACATGGAGAGTCTTAGGTAAAAGGGTCAGGTATTTCGTCAAGAATTGCATGTGATTTGCTACAGGTTTCAGGTCGCCATTCAATACATTTACTGTCACAGTCGGAATATAGATATATCTTAGCTACGGTCTAGTTTATCATTAAATCACTGATAAAAAGTTTGAAGAAATAAAACGGCTCAAAACGTATCAATGTCAATGTTCAATTCGGCCTCACCTGCAGACGACATGTGCGCCTCGGTCCACCGATATTTTCCTGTTTGCGTAGGGCACAAATCCGTTTATTGGAAAGTTACATATTATGTTACACCGAAGTATTTCCACATCAATCATGCCAAACCCTTCAAAACCTTTATTATCATCGTAGGTGACGATGGAGAATAAATGTTTACCATCATATTCATCGCTTCAATATACACGTCCGCCATTTTTATGATTTTTTTATTCGTTTTGTAATACTCTCGCTCACCTTTGGTTATTACTGGGGTACACTGCCGTGAATATCGAAAGTAATGACAAAACAACCAATCAGAAGCCTTCTACTATACACGTTCAGGTTTGGTATAGCGACAACCCGACTTCACACTTCCTGGCTACAGATCAAAACCTTCAGACCGAGAAAGGACATAAGTCAAGGGTAGCACTGATGGCCCGACTTTTCAAAACGACATATGTCGCGCATAGCAGCCTAGCCTAAGGGTTAGCAGATTATGATTTTTTTTTCCCATTACGCCCTCACCTGGTCCCGCCCCTGCTCACTACCTTATAAGAATTTATTGAAATATCAATTTGGGCCTGGACAGTTTCAGCCAATGATACTGTGGCAAGTATGGCCCATAGTAGAAGGCTTCTGATTGGTTGTTTTGTCATTACTTTCGATATTCACGGCAGTGTACGCTAGTAATAACCAAAGGTGTTCGAGAGAATTTCAAATCGAAAAAAACCCAATAAAAATGGCGGACATGTAGATTGAAGCGATGAATATGATGGTAAACATTTAATCTCCATCGTCACCTCCGATGATAATAAAGGTTTTGAATGGTTTGGCATGGTTGATGTGGAAACAATTCGCTGTAACATAATATGTAACTTTCCAATAAACGGATTTGTGCCATACGCAAACAGGAAAATATCGGCGGACCGAGGCGCACATGTAGTTAGTTTGCAGGTTAGGCCGAATTGAACAATGACATCGATACGTTTTGAGCCGATTTCTTCAAACTTTTTATCAGTGATTTAATCATAAACTAGACCGTAGCTAAGATATATCTAGAAAACAAAGTTCAGAAAATTTGGTTAACCGGTGTTGTCTGAATGGAACGGTTCCGAGGGATTCCGAAAAAGGTAAGTGTACCTATCAAAAACACAGGAGTGTCTGAAAAACGGTTCGTAATCGATCAAAAACGAGATGAATAGAACCTGCTATCCCAGTCTGTGACGTTAACTTTTTTCCATGCTAGTCATTTGGACTAGTGAACCCAGAATTTTATGCAAATCAACCACACTGAGAGATCTCACGAGATGACATGCGCAAGTCACGTGATTCAGTACATACGCTTGTCTTATATTCAGCTACACGGAAAATTTTCGCTTGGATTATTCTCAAAAATGCGCCTGGGAATTTTTCCCATTTCAGGACAGCGCTCTAAAGTGAGGGAATTTCAGCAGATGCTGCCAACATCATCGCGGCCTCCTGGCGACATGGGACAAAGCAACAATATGGGTGCTATATCCAGAAGTGGCTGCAATTTTGCCAGCAAAGGGAAATTAATCCACATAAACCATCTGGTAGTATAAATGTGGTTTTGGATTTTCTCACTTCCCTGTATCACAAGGGGCTCGGATACAGTGCAATTAACACTGCCCGGTCAGCTATCAGCTCATTAGACATTTCGTTGCATGGTTCGAGTACGGTTGGTAATCACCCCTTAGTGTGTAGATTTTTAAAGGGAGTGTTCACCAGTCGACCAAGCCTGCCAAAATATACAAGGACTTGGGATGTAAATAGTGTTTTAGCTTATTTAGAGACACTTATGCCTTTAGCATCTTTAGATTTACCTGTTTTAACTAGAAAGTTAGTCATGTTGTTAGCATTAGTGACTGGACAGAGGGGACAGTTTCTACATCTTTTGGAAATTGGAGGCATTCATTTTACTCCTGAGGAAATGTCTATTTATGTAGATAACCTGTTAAAAACAACACGCCCTGGGCATCATCAGGCACCTAATATCATCCCCAAGTTTACCAACAAACTATCGTTGTGCGTGTATTCTACTATGTTACAATATTTGGACAAAACCAAAGATATAAGAAATAATGCAACGCAATTATTCTTGAGAACTATTTCACCCCACGGTCCAGTTTGTCGGAGTACAATATCCAGGTGGATAAAAACAGTTATGGCACAAGCTGGTGTGGATGTGTCAGTTTTCGGAGCACACAGCACTAGGGCGGCTGCCACTAGTGCTGCTTCGTCGCGTGGTATACCAATACAACAAATCTTGAAGGCCGCAGGCTGGAGTCGAGATAGCACCTTTTTCAGGTTTTACAACAGGAACATTGTGACCACGGACAATACTGAACCAACTGCATTAAGTGCACTTCTACAATAGTACAAAACTACCCATTTCAATGAACATTGTTTTATTCATTAAATAGAATACAAATGTTAATGAAATTTTTTATCTGTTGTTTTGTTCTTATTTAAATTGCATTGTGGTTTTACCAAAAATTGTATTGACTCTGAAATCTCGTGAGA